TTTTTTTTTTTTTTGAGAAATTTCTGAAAATACTTACTTTAGAAGAATATGAAGAAAGTCTGGCCTTTCAGATAATTTTAGATACTCTTTTTTGGATGTGACACCAAAACTTAACAAGTGGTAATTACTTAAGAGTTAGTTCCAATGTGGAATCTGAAATCATACTACTGAATTTTTCATACTGTTACATTAAAATACCTTGGTCATTTGGGGGCACTTGGGTGGCTCAGTTGGTTAAGCGTCTGATTTCGACTTAGGTCATGATCTCGCAGTTGATGGGTTCAAGCCCTGCATTGGGCTCTGTGCTGACAGCTCAGAGCCTGGAGTCTGCTTCAGATTCTGTGTCTGCCTCTCTCTCTGACTACCCCACTTGAACTCTGTCTCTCTTTCTCAAAAATAAATAAACGTTAGAAAAATTGAAAAAAAATACCTGGGTAACACTGATCTTCCAAATGTTGAGACATTTTGTTATACAGAGTTTAAATTACCTGCACTAATATTACCACCAAATTCATCAGAGGAATTTATACACATCAAGAAACTCAAACTTAGTGGCGCATACAAGTGTTCCAAAACTCTAATAATCATTTTCTCTTGAAAGCTTAAATTTTACAGTGGCAGCAGATACAGTGGATTATTTTCATTGAAGAGACAGACTCTGTTCATCTTCAAGAAAGTGTATATCAAATTCCCAACTTCATTTTTTCTGGTTTGTCAGTTAACAGAGAGAAATGGCTAGTTCAGCTCACCACATAATCACAAAAGAGCTTTTCCTGGAGAAAACCATCATGATTCAACATGCAGCAAAACTACTTTATCCAAAAATTATTAGGTTGATTATTTTTGTGTGTTTATTTGATGCTTCAAACTGGTGGGTACGTTGAAGTAAAGCATATCACAATATTGTGACAACGTACATCTTTAGAGTGCTTTGTAAATAACCTGGGACTTCATTGTGTGTGAAAGATTAATATATTAATTATATTTAATGTATTATTTTTTAAAGGTTCAATTTTGACTCTCAGGCAATGGACATTGAGAACTACAATGTGTTTCAGTTAATTCAAAATTCTTCCAATGTATAATTAGATAATTGATAAATTTTCTTTTTTAAGTTTATTTATTTTGACAGAGAGAGAGAGAGATTGTGCTGGGAGGGCGGGGAGTAGCAGAGAGAGAGACTCCCAAGCAAGCTCTGTACTGTCAGTACAGAACCGTACATGGGCTCAATCTCATGAATCATGAGATTATGACCTGAGCCGAAATAAAGAGTTGGACGCTTAACTGACTGAGCCACTCAGGCTCACCAATTGATGCATCTCTAATGAAAGTCCTTTCTCAAGTTGTAAATTTTGTTTTGTTTTTACTTATTTATTTACTTTTTTTTTAAGTAGGCTTCACACCCAGTGCGGAGCCCAGTATGGGTCTTGAACTCACGACCCCGAGATCAAGACCTGAGCTGAGATCAAGAGTCAGATGCTTAACTGACTAAGCCACCCAGGCACCCCTAAATTTTGCTTTTAAAATAGTTAACACATTCGCATTTGTTAAACTGAAAGGATATGTGGTTGAAACTTTGTCTCATCCCCCCCAACCACCTAGTTCTCCTTCCTAAATTTAGGCACTCAGTACTAACTAGTTTCTCATGTGGCACACCAGAGATGTGGCTGCAGGCACACAGTGTGTATGTAAGTGTGTGTGTATAAATATGTACTCACACACATGTACATTTATTACATGTATTCTTTTTTGCCTCTTGTGCTAT